AAACGCATGGCATTGGTCATTATTGTGACTGAGTCACTGGTTCTGGAATGTGGCAGGGTTTCTAATGCTGTGAAGAGACACCATGATCATGGCAGCTGTAATAAAGGAAAACAGTTAATTGGTGTTAACTTACCGTTTCAGAGGTTTAGTCAGTTATTGCCAGGTGGAACCCATGGGGGGCATGCAGGCAGACATGGTGCTGGAGAAGAAATAGAGTTCTGCATCTTGATCCATGGGTAGCAGAAGTGAAGTTGATTCTCTGTGTAGTTTGATCATCTGAGACCTCAAAGCCTATCCCACAGTGACACTTCCCACTAACAAGGCCACACCTACTCTGCAAGACCACACCTTGGAATTATCCACTCCCCATGGGTCAAGTATTCACATACATGAGTCTATGGGGCTATTCCTGTTCAAACCACTGCAATTGTCTAGAGCTGACTTGAGAGATTCTGATTCAGACGGACATGTTGCTGATTTTATCTTTTCTCTCAATATGCCCCAGTAGTTTTCCCTGCAAACAGGTTAGCTTAACAGAAATTTTGGATGTCTTTATGATGCCTAATGTAGGATATTTCTAGCTTTGGTTGTGATTCATTGCTTTTATTAATCCCTTTTCAAGTTTCCCATAGACTTGTGTTCTTCGCTATGTAAAAAGCCAAGTACGTCTGTTGATTTCCTTTAAGTTTTAGTAGGAACTTGTAACTTTGGGTAACAGTGGCATGTGAGAAATGGCAGTATTCTGTGAAAACAATTCACTGTGCCTGCCATGCAGCCCCCAGGGCTTCAGGATTGCTTGGGATAGTTTGGGACAGAGTAAGCCCAGTGGTGGCTCACATCTTTATTACCAACATGCAAGAGGCAGGCAGATCTCTGAGTTCCAGGCCAGCTTAATTTACAGAGCGAGTTCCAGGGCAGCCAGGGCTACACAAAGAAACCTTGTCTTGAAAAACAAAGAAGTTTTCTTTCTTTCTTTCTTTCTTTCTTTCTTTCTTTCTTTCTTTCTTTCTTTCTTTCTGTCTGTCTGTCTGTCTGTCTGTCGATTTATTTATTTATTATGTATACAACATTGCTTCCCTGTGTGCCTGCAGGCCAGAAGAGGGCACCTGATCTCATTACAGATGGTTGTGAACCACCATGTGGTTGCCGGGAATTGAACTCAGGAACTCTCGAAGAGCAGTCAGTGCTCTTATCCTCTGAGCCATCTCTCCAGGCCCCCCCCCCCTTTTTCTTTTTTAAACCTGAGAACTATATTGGTATCTGGATACCTGGTTGCTGATTTTTTCCTTGAAAGGTCCCTTGCCTTGTTGCATGTGAAGACAGCCTAGTGTTTCAGAGTACTCAGGGAGCCATGGCATTACTTTATTCCTTTGCTTTTAACCTGAAGCTTGTTCTACAGAGTGTACTTATAGTTTGAAAGGGAAACAGAGATTGACTGTCTGGCAAGTTAATCAAGAAAAATAGTCACTTAAGACTCTGCTGGAAGATGGATTTGTGAGGTCTGAGAAAATGCTGAAAGATGTATGCAAGAGCGAAGAACATTTCTTCTGCAGAAACAGCCAGCGTATGTGGGGCTGTTCACTGTACAGAATGGCAATGCCCACCAGAGGAGCGTGCAGGCTCTTCTTAAGCCTAGCTGGGTAAATTTCAGGGGCTGTTAGAAGTTTCTGCACCCCATAAGCCTCTCTGTCAGTGCAGCAATCCAAATCAAACCGAATTAGAAAAAATTAGGTAAAATATTCCCAGATTATTCCTCTCCCTACTCCCCTGAGAAGGGAAGAGAGTCTAAAAAAACAAACTTTTCTGGGAGGCAGTTTAAATACTCTGTGGGAGTGATCTTGAGCATCTCTGGGGGAGGAGCCCTATTTGGTGGACTGAGATGAGACAGGGTTTGGGGGGGGAGAGAGATGGCGAAGGAAGATTGAGGTGGAGCTTCCATCAGAACATCCTGGACTCTTTGGGTGTATGGATGCTAGGGACTGAGGTGGAACTTTCAAACATTATTGGTTAAGCAAGCCTCAATTATATTAGTATACTTTTAATTGGCTTTTATCTTTGAACATACTTGGGTAAGTTTCAAGAGGGTTGCAGGAACTGTCCTTGAGACATTCTGGGCCCGATTCAGGCCTTGTTTGTGTATCTTTCCCTCCTTCTTGAATGTAATTTGTTGAAAAATGGCCCTCTGTTAGGAGAGATACCTGTTTGCTCCTCTCAGAGAACTGAGACTATTCAGTTGTAAAAGTGCCTTATGAAATACAAAAGCAGTATTATTTAAATGGGTAATGCCTATGTATGACTTTTGCATTCAAACAGCTTAAAATGGTAGATAGGAAAAAACTAATCTTCTCAATTCCAGAAGACTCTGTTGACACTGTGTATTTCCCTTTGACATGGTAAGATGAGAGTGGCTTTTCTATGATGTGAAAAATGCCATTCCATTAGAAGTGCATCATAGAGAACACTTGGCTGTTACCCTCCAAACTGCCAAAGTCACTAAAAGCAAGGATAGTCAGAAACTGTCACTGTCAAGAGCCTAAGGAGACCTGGCAGCTAAACATAATATGCTTTCCTGGGTGGAGTAGCACGAATTCTAATTGGTCTTAATGATAAAAACCCAGAGTCAGGTATCGGAGTAAATGCTGAAAGATCAGAGTGACAAAGGAACAAGTCGGAGCCAAGCTCCCCTCTCCGCTTAGCCATATCATTTCAAGTTTCCTCTTCCCAGGTGCTGGGACTAAAGGTTTGTGCCACCACTGCCTGTCCTCTATGGCTAACTAATGGCTTAGTTCACACTCTGATCCCCAAACAATCTTTATTTGTTAGAGCACAAACAAAATATCAGCATAGGGTGGGATCCTGGGGTAGAAAGGAACATTGGCTAAAACCTAAGGGACTCTGACTAGATGGTGTGGACATGAAGGGTGCAGTAAAGAAACCTTGTCTACTCCATGGCTGGGGACTGGTTATTGCTGGTAACAGAGAACAGCCAGAGAGACAAAGAGACCGGCCAGGAGTGTCCTCAAGGAGAGGGAGAATAGCAAGAGTGGCAGTTGTGAGAGTAGCAGGGGTCTGGAACAACCTGGGGACTGGCGTAGTGCAGAAGAAATCAGGGAGGTGAGAAGGGCCAGAGAAGGGCGTGTGTGGGGACTTTGAAATGTGTGTAAAGTATCTGTGAAAAGGGACTGAGGGAATCTGGAAGCCAGCATAGGCTTTGATGTGCAACCACAGGTGTATGTCAGTGGAAAGCCTTATATATCCCTTCGGCCAGAGGTAAGCAAAATGACTCATTTTGGTGGATCTGAACCTATTTCACAAGTTCCTCAGGACTGCTGGCTTTTGTCTAGCCACCAGAAATTCTTCAGTTGTCCAGCTGGAGTTTATTTCTGGTCATATATACTGCCTGAGACCTAGCACCATGAGCTTTAGCTGATGTTGTCTTAATCTGGGTTCATTAATTTTAAAAAAAAGTATCACACTGATCTAAAATATTAATAATGAATGTGTGGGAACTCCTGTATTTTCTTTTCAATTTTTATATAAAGCTTTTAAAATCCCAATGCTCTGGGATTAGTTAATGTAGTCTGGTTCAAAGAATATAACTTGTTGCTATTTTCCTATGATTCCTTTGAGAAGTATTTTATGCCAATATATGTGTGTGTGTGTGTGTGTGTGTGTGTATCTATATAATATTGCCTATTCTGTTTTTCTCCCTATTGGCTTTTCCAAGGCAGGCTTTCTCTGTGTAGGCTTTACTGTCCTAGAATTCACTTTGTAGACCAGGCTGGTCTGGATTAAAGGCATGTGCCACCAACGCCTAGTACCTATTCTGTTTTTTAAGCAAAAAAGTTACATTATATGAAGCTTTTTTCTTCCCTCCTCAAAATCTATTTAAAGCACATTTCTAATTCCACATACTTGTGTTGCTGAGGCAGCAGGTTGATGAAATAAAGACCAGCCTGGGTTACACAGCAAAACTCTTCAAACCCAAACAAAAACAAGAAGGGCTGGAGAATCGGCTTAGTGGTCAAGAGCACTGGTTATACTTGTAGAGGACACAGGTTCAGCTTCTAGCATGTGATTGGAGAATTACAGCCATTTTTGACTTTAGTTCCATCACCCTCTTCCAGCCTTCCTGTGTACTGGGCAAACACATGGTTCACATGCATACATTTAGACAAAACTCCATACACATCGCTTATGTCAGGGATAAAAGATGGAAGGCACCTTGACTGAATGTACTTGCTAGCCTGTTTTGGGTTTGAGTGCACTGCTTTTTACAAAAAGAATTGCCTTGCTGAGTTGCTTTCTCTGCCTGTTCCTTTTTGCGACATCAATATTTTGCTTTGGGTTTTCTTTGAGATGGGGTCTAGCTGGTCTGGAATGCTCTATGTAGATCAGGCTAGTCTCAAATCCACCTGCCTCTGGGTCTGAAGTGCTGGAATTCAAGCTGTGTCCTACTATATACACTTGGCGTTGGTTAGTTTTTTAGATAATGAGCATGTGTTCCTGATTTACTAGAGTTGTTAGTGTAGGTAATAGTGAGAGTAGACCCAGTTCTGAGTAGTTGTGCTGTGTTGTGTAAGTGTACAATAGTGTCTGTTTCCAGCCATGTACTCATTATGTGATGAGGCAGAAAGTGAGAATGGAGACTGAGGACGAGAAGGAGCTGCTGTTCTTTAGCATGCAGTCGGTATAGACAGAAGTTACATTTCAGCAGTAAGAATTGGGTGAGCGTAGATGAGGGCCCCTTTCAAGAATATCTAACGAGCTAAGGTTTTCTAGATACTATAAAAAGTTATGTTCCTTATTATAGTTTTCTTTTTAATGTTTGGGTTAAAGTATAAATGGCTAAAACTTAAAAAAAAACACTTTTGGCTTTAATAATCTTTAATATAAAACAAAATATTTGAATATTGCTAATGTTTTGTAAATAAAATAAGCAGTTGCTTAAATTGTGCTATTTACAAAGCGAATGTCTGATGGTGTCTTTTTCCTTGAAGAGATGTGAAAGCTGGAAACATTCTTCTAGGAGAGGACGGCTCGGTGCAGATCGCAGGTAAAGCTTACCAGACTCACTGTCCTTTTGTGCAGTGTGTGTGCCGAGCATGCATGCATGTGTGTGTTTTCCCATTGGTTGCTACTTTGCCTCAGAGACCTTTGTCCCTGCATCCTGAGTACTCCTATAAGTGTTTACCATGCCTGCCTAGCATTTGTGTGGGTGCTGGGGGTCCAGACTCAGGTCTTCATGCTTGTGTGCAGAGGATTTTACCCAATGGACCACCTTCCAGATCACAGAATTTCTTTTTAATTTCAAATAACAGCCAGCAGAACCACCTTGGTTGTCTTCTATGTTTTCTTGTTGTTTGATTCTGTTCCAAGGACATCTTTCTTTAAGTACCCTCTCAAGGTGGCGTCCACTACTCAGATATTTTCCTTTTGGGTTTTCCACTCCTCACCTTCATTAGGGTCTTCTGACGGGGATAGGGATTCTCACAACATTCTGTGCTTTCTTTGAAAAGAGAAGCAGTTAGAAATGGTCTGTGTTCAGGAACAACTCCTCTGTTGAGAGGTGATAGAAAGCTGTCTTTATCCAGGGTTGTGGTGGTTGGTTTGAATTGTCAACTTGACTCAACCTAGAGCTTGGGAAGAGGTTTCAGTGAGTAATTGTGTATATTAGATTGGTCTATGAATGTGTGTGAGGGATTGTCTTAACTAGATTAATTGAAGTAGTGTGACTCATTCTGAGCGTGGGTGATGGGCCCATGTGCTAGCTGCTGGGCTGAATGGAAGGGGAGACAGCTGAGCATCGTGCCTCTGTAAATGAGGTCTTTTTGGTCTTGACTGATATAGTGTGATAGCTGCTTCATTGCCTGCCACCTCGACTTCTCTGAAGCCGATTAACCCTTTCCTCTTAAGTGACATTTCTTTCTTTCAAATCACAGGAATGGAAGGGACTAACACAAGGATGACATTTAGTCCCTGCCTTTTAGGAAGCAGTGTGCATGAAGTGGGAGCATAGTTAGGCAGTTTTAGAGCAGGCAGATAAAGTTGGAGTTCATTTCCTTCCAGAGTTGGCTGTCCTGATCAAGTAGTTTTCTTTTGTTCGGTCTCACACTGCTATGATAGTCAAATGAATCAAGACATTATCTTCAGTTTTTAAAAGATAATCTAGGCGAGTAACTTTATATTCTAAATAAGGGTCTGTTTTAATCAAGCCAAGTAAAACTCCAACATACAATTGATTCTTTTAATGTTAACTTTCTTTTTGACAAAAGAGTAACAAGCACCTTTTCACTAAAGACAAGACATAGAGTAGGATAATTACAGCATGAATAATCTTAGAATATATACTGAAGTGGCATGTGTCTGGAATCTGAGAGACTTTCAGGGCTCACTGCCTAATTCATCTATTCTAAACCATGAGCTTCAGACTCAGGGAGAGATTGTCTCAAAAATTAAGATGAACACACACACAATTAAGATAGCAGTTGAGGACTATACCTAACATTTGTCTCCTTTCTCTATACAACCATGCGTGCGCATACACACAAACACATAAAATACGTGAATATGGAAGAATGCATAGCAAAGTCATAATGAGCATCCAAACATAAATTGGTTATTAAGTTCCAAGTGTTTGACTTGACCAAAACATCTGACAAAACCAGTTGTTGGGTGTGAAACAGGGACAGAAACCCTTACACTGTGGTGGGAGGAGTGTGAACTGGGATGGTGATTTTAGTACAGTGGAGGATGTGTAGGCAGACTTTAAGCAATAGCTTCTGTTGTGTAGATGAGAGAAACTGGTCCTTTCATGGGTGGTGGTGATCTTAGTCATTACAAGTTTTAGGTGTTCTTGATGCCCTTTACTAGCAGATGGTATAAATAAATTGTGGGTGATTTATACACCAGCATGGTGAAAGTTGATTCAACCATGGCCACCTACTTCATTAAGAAGCATGAAATTATAAAATGGTGTGATAGACTACACATGAGTGCCTTTGCTTGATTGTCCACTGAGAAGAGTTCTGCTGCCTTCTACCCTTTCCCATACCATCCCGTCTCCAAACTTTACCAATAATGTATCCCTAGCTAACTTAAAACAGCTTTGTTTTAGTTTTTTATTGTTTTGTGAAATAGAAAATTTACCATTACTAACCATTCTTAAGTGTACAGTTCTGTGGCTGTAAGAAATGTTTTGTACCTAAAAATATAGCCTACAGATTCGTATATATCACATTTTGCTTTTGCATTGGTTCTTCAGTGAACATTCAAATTGTGTCTTATTGCCTATTTTGAATAATGTTGCTATAAACTGTATATAAATATCTCAACTCTTGTTTACATTCCCCCTGCCCCTTTTTGTTTTATGTAGCTCAGGCTAGCTTGGACTCCTGATTCTCCCCATCTTCTGTGCTGCACTGTAGCCACGAGTTACCATGTCTGGCCTATTTCTTTTGGGTATATGTCCATAAGTAGAATTGGTGGTGTTAAGCATTTTCCTACCGACAAATCTCTCTGCTGATGCAATAATCCCGATCAGACCAAATCAGACCAAATTAAAAGATGCCCAGGTTTAATGAATGCCAGTGCCCCCGGGCAGCCCCCAGGAAAACACAGAAAGGAAAAAGGGGATGTTGAAGGAGCTTCGGGCTGCATTCCTCAACCCGGCTCCTGGCCGCCTGGCTAGCTTATACCCCGAAATAACAACACACAAACTGTATTCATTTAAACACTGCCTGGCCCATTTCTATTAATGTGTGTAGCACCGAGGTGCGCTTATCGGGAAGATTCTAGCCTACGTCCATCCTGGGTCAGAGCTTCATTGCGTCTGCCTGGGAGAGGGGAGCATGGCGTCTGAGCTCACTTCCTCTTCCTCCCAGCATTCTGTTCTGTTTACTCCACCCACCTATGTTCTAACCTATCAGGGCCAAGCAGTTTCTTTATTAATTAACCAATGACCTTCCTCCATCAAGGGGAGATCACGTATTCATTCTTGGGGTGGGGAGGGCAGTATAAATAGCCTGTGGAGTGGTCTTGACCTTCCACCAAACATTTTAGACTCCTTGTATATATGGATGTCAGGGGGCTGGGGTGAAGCCCCCAGCTAAACAGGGGCTGTTTTACATAATAATGGTCCCCTTTTTAAATTCCTGTCTCCATTCCATATAGATTTCAGTTTCTTGATATCCATAACAATACTAATATTCTATTTTCATTTTTGTTGACAAGGTATTTTTACTATGTAGCTAGCCCTGGCTAGCCTGGAACTCACTGTGTAGATCAGGTTGGCCTAGAACTCTTCTACCACAGAGATCAGCTTTCCTTGATGGGATTAAAACCATGCCTAGGTTTTTCTTTTTTGTTTTTTTAATTTTTCTATTAACCATCTAATGTCTGTCTCCTGGTTTTGATTATACTTGCCTATTATCAGCTATGTTGATTGTCTTTTCATGTTCATATTGTCCATTTGCTTTTCTTAGGTAAAGTCTTTGCCTGTTTTTTTTTTTTTTTTTTTTTAATACAATTTTTGTAAATCTCACTGTAGCCTGTATTGGCTTCTGCCTCCTTAGTTCTGGGATGTAGGTATTCTTTGTGTTTTCTGGATGGTAATACTTTTGCAGTTTTGGTTTCAAATATTTTCTTTGAATCTGTGAGTTTTATTTGAATTTGGTTTCAGTCCAGGGCTGATTGAATTCCTAACCCTATTGATTGAATTCCTAACCCTAACCCTGAGGCAAGGCAGAATAGTAGCATGGTGAGAGGATGTGGGAGGAGGAAGCTGTTTTTTGACTATCAGGAAGCCAGAGCAGCAAGAAGGGTCCTGCCACAGCCATCTCTCTGGAGCAGGGCCCCATGTGCTCCCAGTAGGCCCAGCCCTACACCCCCTTCAAGTGTTGTTGGGTTCTGACTCTTCAGAGATCGTCCACACCATCTCCCCAAGTGATGTCATGTTCTGACTCTGCAGGAGTCAACCCATTGATTATACAGAATTCTCAGAGCTACCTCTTCTCAAAGCCCATCAGTTGACAACTAGCCTAAATTCCTGAGCCTGTGGGAACTACTTCCTCTTTAAACCATAACAAATGCTTTCTGTTCTGTTCCAGATTTTGGTGTGAGTGCTTTTTTAGCTACTGGTGGTGATATTACCAGAAATAAAGTGAGGAAAACATTTGTTGGCACCCCTTGCTGGATGGCACCTGAAGTTATGGAGCAGGTACTGTGAGTTCTGTCTTTTTGAAATGGTTCAGGATTTTGTTAGGAATCCTCAATAGTGTTTATATTTATTCAATATACAAGGTTGGCTACATGAAATGTGTGTTTCTGTTGATTGGTTAAGGACTAGCTCTAAGGAAAGATAGTAGTATCTCAGTACAAAGCAAAAAATAAAGATTTTTACATAGGACACAAGAAACTCAAGACAATACCAAAGATAATTCAGGTAATAAAGGAATAAAAAATTTTTAAAAATGTGTAATCGTATAGACCAAATGAGCTAGTTGTTTAGCTTATAGTTTCCTTGCTGGGCTCTTCTCCATTTCCCATCTGTACATCAGACAGCCCACCGCAGTCTCTTGTCATCTGTCTCAGCTTATTGCAGCAGACTCTCTAAACCCAGTGCTCATTTCTCAGTACACCTCTTTTCTTTCTGCTGTAACTATTTACTTCTCCATTTTGCTTCTGCTTGTCAGGCTGCTCCTCTGGCCTCTAGGCCATCTACTCCTTTGTTTGTGTAAGTCAGGGTTTCTCTGTGTAGTCTGGCTGGCCTGGAACTTGCTTTGTGGATCAGGCTGACCTCAAACTCAGAGATCCTCCTGCCTCTAAAGGCATTCACCGTCAGACCTGGCTCTCTGTCTTCCTGAGTCTCCCAGTAGGATCTAGAGTACACATGTTATCCAAGTGCAGGCTGATACTGGAGGATCATGAGGTTGTGGCCAGTCTGGGCTTTATTCCTGGACACGTCTGAAAGAAAATATGGCATTGTTTGCTAGGGTCATTTTCTGGGTTCTTCTCTTCTTGAGTGTGTGTATTCATTCACTTGATGTTCTTACCAGTACTAGCACCTATAAAAGATTCCTAAATTATATGCAAACCAGCCTTCTTAAAGCTACAGGTAACTTTAACACTGTATGGAAGCTTTTCATGAATGTCATAGATGTCTTACTATCCAGCCTGTAGAAGGGCACTGCAGGCACACAGGGTTGTAAGAGATTGTATGCAGGAACAGAATGAACAAACACAGGCTGTGGAGAAAGGCTGGGGACAGGAGGAGGATATGGCAGGGGCTAAAGCTTCTTCTCAGTTAAGCAGGGGCTTCCCTTGATCTGTTTGGTAGAGAAGCATGTTGAAATAGGGAATATTGTCCATGGAGAGAACTTGCCTTTCTTTGCATCATTAGACCGCACACATATTGACCACTGAATTTAAGTTTTGATGGTGGCAATATAAATGAGAAGTTTGGCAGCCTGTTCATACTAATGACATAAAAAAAATCCACAATCTCCTTACAATATGTTTTTCTTTTTTTATTGCAGTAATAATGATAAAATACCTGGGCATTGTAGCACATTACTCTAACCCCATCACTCTGGAGATTGATGGCCTGACTAATGAGATCTTGTCTTAAAACAAAACAAAAGAAAAACCCCAGAAGGAGAGAGATAGGAAAGAAAGGGAATGAAAGGCAAGGAGGGGAAAAGAAGATAAAATAATGTTATAGAACACTTGGAAAATAAAAGACAGGATTGTGTAAAATCTTGGTTCCAATTTTGTCTTTTTTGTTTAGTTTTTGTTTGTTTTATAAATCGAGTATGCCTTCTGATTATATCATACTTAATGTTTCATATTTTTGTGTTTTACCATGAATATTTTCTGTATCTGCTCATAATTAACTATAACACCCTTTTAAGTGATTACTGTAGTTAATGTTTTCTGGTTTCAAGTCTATGGGCATGCTGTGGTAGTGCACCTCTACAGTCCCGGGTCTCAGGCTGGGGCAGGAGAGTCGGAAATCAAGGCTAGCCTGGGCTGCACAGGGAGACCTCTCAACCCCCTCCCCCCCCAAAAAAAAGTTTCAAAGTGTATAAACACTTTAATTTTTCATGGCATACTAGAAACTTTGGGAAAGTGTTTTAGTCTGGTTAAAGTATTAGTACATATTTCTCTCTCTCTGTCCCCCCCCCCTTCAGGTTCGAGGCTATGATTTTAAAGCTGATATCTGGAGTTTTGGAATCACAGCGATTGAACTTGCCACAGGGGCAGCTCCTTATCATAAATATCCACCAATGAAGGTGAGGCTCAAGTTTCAATTATTTTTCTGAAGACTATAGTTACTTTCATAGTTACTTTTCCTCTCATGACTTACCAAGCCATTTTTCATATAAGACTCCTTAGGGTAGGATAACTATTAAAACATTTAGCATATGTTTGTAGCTTGATGTTGTTCATGCTGGTTGTAATTCTAATTTTTATATATGTTTTGCCTCTTCTTTTCCCTGGACAATACTTGATATTTTTTTCTTATTGTGTATAGTTTTGTATTAGGCTTAGATCTCTCTTATTTAGACAAAATGGGGAGATGCTGTGGGAACTCCTTCAGCCAATAGCCTTTAAGATACTGGCCCACTTTGGACATGGTCTCATGTATTATAAATGCAGACATAAAGCGTGGGGTTGGGGCTCTTGGCTGCTGGATTCAGTTCCAGTTCCCAGTGCACACAGAGGACTGTGGATCGCTACTATTTCTGTGTGTTTACTGCTAGATAAATAAACCTTTGCTATACTCCATTCTGGGCTAGTGTGGACTCTTTTGTACACCAACATTTTTTAGAGCCTTTTTTTTCCCCTGTTAAATGTGCTTTGGTGTTTTGCCTGCATGTGTGTCTGTGTGAAAGCATTGGGTTCCCTAGAAGTGAAGTTACAGACAGTTAGAGGCACCATGTCAATTCTGGGAATTGAACCCTGGCCCTCTGAAAGAGCAGTCAGTGCTCCTGACTGCTGAGCTAGCTGTCTCTCCAAACCCTTTTTCTGAGCCTTTTATGTTTGCCAGTCATACCCATAGTCATTTATTTTCATAGATTTTTGTATGTGTGTTGTAGCAAAATATAATCTTTCCAATAAAATACCAACATAGCCATTTTTACTCTGTGTTGTGTAGGGATCAGATCCAGCATAAACCTTTTTGGATGTGCAGTTAAGTTACAGACATGTTCATGATGTGTTGCCTTCTTCCTCTCCAAACTCCTTTTTCTTTGAGTTCAGAGCCTTTGAACTCTTTTTATTTCGTTCTTCATAAAATATAGACGGAGTTGGTGAATTACAATCGTCTTGCTGTACTGTGAACACAAGAACTGCATTTTCGTGTCTGTTGATCTCTCTGTTCATCTGCCTTTTATAGTCTCTGGTACAGAATAACTAAGACTGTCAGTGACTGCAGGGGAGACAGGAAGAATGTGAACTAATGGTCTGTAGCTTTGTTACTGAAGTACAGTTGGTGATTTCTGTAATAGAAATTTCTTGAAGAAAAGGGGCCACACTACGAAAGTCAAGGAAGAACAAGCCAAGTAGTGGATGTGCTAATAAGGCCACACATGTATTTGCTGTTATGTTTTTATTTTTGTAGTAGGTTGGCAGTAGAAGAATTAGGGCTGGAGACATGAAGAAATAAAGGATTTTAACCAAAGAATATAATGGCAGTGTTGACAGTGGGTACTTGTGGGCAGGCAGGTTGGCTGGGATTCCATCATCTATAGCTCTTAACTAATGTCCAGTACACTTGAAAACCTTGGGTTCTAAACAGCCAGTCTATTTCTTGTTCTACTTGGTGTTGAGGTCTGGGTCTCACACTTGGTCAGCAAGTATATATAATACATATATAATTCATATAATCCCTCGAGCTATGTCCCTAACCCTTAAAATCCATCCTAGATGTTAATTTCTGTATGTGTGTGTGTACTTTGAGAGTACAGGTTTGCTCCTCAGCCACTCTTTACCTTGAATTCTGTTTCTCCCTGGACCTGGATCTTGGCAGTATGGCTGGACTGGCTGGCCAGCAAGCCCCAGGGGACCTCCCCTCCCCTAACTGGGACTATAGGCGTGAACAGCACCCAGCTTTTTTATGTGAACACTGCAGGGTTGAGCTTATGTTCTTATGAACAGTAAGCACTCTACCAGCTGAACCATCTCCAGCCCCTAGATGTCAACTTCTGGAAAGTAAAATATGCTTGTCTGTTGGGAAATTTTATCCATATTGAAAACTCCTTAGATGTTTTTACTGTATTGAAAACTTTTAGGTTTTGATGCTGACACTCCAGAATGATCCTCCCTCTTTGGAAACTGGCGTTCAAGATAAAGAAATGCTGAAAAAATACGGAAAATCATTTAGAAAAATGATTTCACTGTGCCTTCAAAAGGATCCAGAAAAAAGGTAAAATATTAGATAAATGTGATGTGTCTGTTTGATACATAAACACTGTGGGAAGTCCTAAATTTTATATGCATATACATGGGATTATATGTGTATTCTTAAAATGAATGAAATACAAACTTTGGAAACACTTATAAAGGCCATTTACAAAATTGGAAGGGCCCGAGTTGATTTCTGTGTTCTTTTAATTATATGGTATATCTAAGTTGTCCAGATATATCTTAAAACTATGAAATTATATATTATGAATTCTGTATTAGTAAAATGCCATGTTAATGGAAAAGTTTTTCTTTGTTCAAAAAAAAAAAAAAGAAAGTAAATGAAATTTATGCGCGGGCATTGCTGAAGCATGCATAGGCATGTCTGTATTGGGTTGCATGGTCTTAGTTGATGAGTGCGACTGCCCAGGTCTCTTCTCTTCTCTTTTCTCAGCTTGCACTTATAACTGCCATTTTACAATTGATAACAAAAGAACTATAACGTAACACATTTATATTTCATGACATTTATATTTTATTTATAGTTCAATAATTGTACATTCCATGTTGAAAAGACTTTAATGGTAAACAAAATTTCAAATAGTTTCCTTATCAGCTGTAGACATATTCAGTGGTAAGCAGCAGGTTCTTAAATAAGAGTATTTAGTGTGTGTGTTGCTCTTGAACAGTGTTTGTAGGCGAGATCACTGAGTGGAACCTTCTATTTTTAGGGTCACTCAGACCTCTAATCTTAGAGGTAGAACTTGAGTCTGAGCTCATCATTTGTAATTTGGGGCTGCATCTCTACTGTGTCTTAGTTTCTGTTTTGTGTGTATACATCAGCTTCCCACATCCTCCCATGGATCCAAGTACTCTGATCAGATTATATCAGTACTCAGCATCATCAACCTTTCCTTGGCCCTCATTCCCTGAGCAACAGAATTGGCATGATAGCAGCTGCTGTAGTTAAGCTAGAGGTGGTATAAAGTGCGAGGGTTTTATGGGTTCTACGCAGATATTCTTCCATTTAAATACAAGGGATTGAGCATCAGAGTTTTGGCAAAGGGAAACAATTTTCTGGAACCAGTTCTCCTGGGATACCCGAGACTACTGTATATTCCACTGTGTTTCTTAGTACTAAAAGTTGTTTAATTTTGTTTTCTCTAAAGGTTGACAAAGGTCTTTGTCATCCTTGATAATGTGTCTAGTATATGTAATGGGGGTTCAGAATTTATTGTTGGAAATATTGGAAAGGGTAAGAAAAATAGGCAGCAAAGTTTCTGTTTCTCAGCAGTGGCTAAAATTGATAGGGAATACCTTTGTTTCCACCAAGTTATCTGACAAAAAGGACAAATTCCTTTGTTACAAATACATAGAAGCAACAGATAAAAATCCATCAAACTTAAAGATTCTTAGATGCGAGAAATAGTGAAAAATCCATAAATTACAAAGAATCCTGAGCTAATCTTGTGGCCACCACCAGTGGAACACTACTCAATCTAGGATCCTACTAAGTTGGATTTCTTAATCTGGTGCTGACTTTCGGAATTGGGACTTTGATTCCACCTGATGGAGATCTTCAGCTGAGCTCCTATTTAGAGACAGGACCATCAGAAAACATTTTCCTCCTTCTTTTTTATAAATTATTTTTAATTTGTGTGTGTATGTGTGCGCACGCATGCGTGTGCTTGCCTCTATTTATGTATGTACACCATATACACACAAGAAGCCTCCTTCCCTTTTTAATGAGATGATAAACAGAATGAAAACTGTTTGTCATTAGCAAGAGGCAGCAGCATCTCTCCTCATTGTTTGACTTTTCTTTCTGCAGGTTGAGAGTCTGAGTTTGTCCTCTCCACATTGAATGCATACTCCACACCTCGTAGGGCTTAAGCATTGTGAGGCAGCTTCATTTGTGGCTGCAGGGGTCTTAGAAGTGCTCTCAGAGAAAACCTGCAAATCCGGATCTCATGACTCCTGGGAGCAACATTCCCCTTAATGGAATTCAAACGAAGCACACATGGTGACACTATACAATGGCAGACACGGTAGCATTAGTTCTTCAGGAAATTTGGATCATGCAGTGGTAGCTGAAAAGATTATAAATCTTTGAATTTATTAAAATCATAAATCAAAATCATAGGAAAAGTCTATGACTCTTTAGAACTTCAGCATGGAAAGATTCAATTAAAAATATAAAACAGTAGATGCCTCTTGTATGGGCTGGACTGTAATATGCTCCTAACCGAATAAAGTGTGAAGAAAGATCCACCAAGCAATCAAGGTAACAGCATAATGAACCTCCAGAAGTGACCCACTGAGAAAGGCGCGCTGCCTGTGACGCTTTCTTCACCCAGTTCATAATTGCCGTTTAAAATGAGAAAGCAGTAGAGAGCTCCAAACTGAGAAATATGCCATAGAATCTCTGACCTTATTTGTCAGAAGTATTAAGCAAAGAAGAAACTGAAAAACATGACTGAATTGAACACATTGATTAGACATGGAGAATAGACGTGACAGGCTATGCCACAGGTGCTTTGACACAAAAGGGGCCCATAGGAAACTGAAGAAATCCAAATAAAATCTGTTGTTTCTAGTTAGAAAGATTGTACTAGTGTTAATGATTTGGTTAAGGAGCTAGTGAAGGATATGAAGGAATAGTGTGCTATGTCAAAACTGTCTCTATTTATCTGTCTATCTAAAAAAATCTCTGGGAAGTATAGAAAATGTATTCCAGTTTGAAAACTAGAATTAAATGTTGTTTAAGATCAAATAACATAAAACGTAACCCTTTATAAACCCATTAAACATAAGAAATTAAAGAAAACAATAAACAGCTACTGACTTATTAAGTACCAGGCACTGTCATAAAGCACCAGTTCCATCTCATTTGATTCTCACATTAATCTTACCAGGACAGCACTTTTTGTTTCTCTATTTTACAAATGAAGAAACAAAAATCAGAGGTTGATTAGCTTTGTGCAAAGTCATACCTGTAATAAGTGGGATGTCCAGTCTGTATTTACACAAATACTTGCATGCACTTTGTGGACTTATCAAGGAGACACTGGTCAGAATGGAGGAGAAGTGATATTTAAATAACAACTGAAATAAGCCTGTGTTAGCACAGACTTACGATCCTAGCACTTGGGTAGGACGAGGAGGAGCAGAAGTTATATAGCGGTCATCTGTGGCTATTCAGCCAAGTTTGAGGGCAGCCTTGGTTACATGAAACTTAAAAAAACAATGGAAAGACGACAAGACTGCAGACTTTCCAGTTCTGAAGCCTTGAATACTCATACTAAAGAACCACTTGCTTCAAATTCCAAACAGTATGTCTTCTCCCCACTGTGTATCCGTGAATGTAATATCAGTAATCCCCTACTGAGGAACTGCAGGCCCCCTCCTCCAGTCATGTGAATGTGGCCAAAACATAGAGAAGTAATACCGAGGGAGAACAGCTACCAGCTCCCCAGCTAGTCAGGTTCTCTTATTCAAGACTGAGCATGAAATTAAGGGGTTTTTATTTTGTATTTTTGTATAATTGAGTCTTAGTCACATCCTTTGATTTTACTCTTCCACAAGTTGTTCTTTAGGAAAAAGGAAATGGACCTACAAGAAAGAAATGAATACTAAGATGCCGTCCTTGGCAAAGAAGGCATTGAAACACTGAAATCTTTCCCAGATGAAGAGTGGCACTGTGATTTCAGTTTACATAGCATCTGTCATTTGTTCTCAGTCTGCATTAATCTGAGGCTTTGGTTCTCAAGATTAAAATTTACTTTGGAACTACCTAGGAAGGTTTAAGAACTACCCCTACCTTGGTCTCACTCCCAAATATGCTTTATATGGTGAGAGAAAGCCTGGTGTGGGGGTTTGAAAACACCTCCCCTATGTTCTGGTACCTAGCAGTGTGTAAGACTGAGGTATTCAGAGGTAAATGCTTGCCAGAGTTGTATAACATCTTGTCCAAGCTTCCATCCTCAGCAGTGGGGTAAAATAAGACAGAACAAAAGCTGCTCTTAGCATTTGGATAGATATCTCTAAAAAAAGCATTGTATAGCATTACATGGTAAGTATGTGGTAACGTTAGGTGTGGTCTTTGAAGAGTAAATTCTTTATTCTTAGTGATCTTCTTTTAAAAGCTTGTAAAGTTGATAATGAAAAATTTATTCCAAGCAAGATTATCTATAACTGAACTCAACTGAATTTGGGTTAAATTTTAAAAATATACTTAATACTTTTCCTATTTTTTTTAAAAGGGAAATTGAGCAATGTCTAAAAATCTATTGCTGCCTTAAATTGAAACCTGTTGGGCTGCTATGTAGTAAGAACAAAAATGTTTGTTTTTTCTTTTTCCAGTTTAAATGCATTTTTTTTTAGATTTTATTTATTATGTATACAGCATTCTGTGTGTCTATAGGCTGGAAGAGGACACCAGATCTCATTTTGGATGGTTGTAAGCCACCATGTGGTTGCTGGGAATTGAACTCAGGACCTTTGGAAGAGCAGCCAGTGCTCTTAACCTCTGAGCCATCTCTCCAGCCCCACATTGAACATTTCTTGAAAGAACTTTGCTGATTATAGATTTTCTTAAATTTCTTTGCTTCATCTTTGAAGGATAATNTTGTAAGCCACCATGTGGTTGCTGGGAATTGAACTCAGGACCTTTGGAAGAGCAGCCAGTGCTCTTAACCTCTGAGCCATCTCTCCAGCCCTTTAAATGTATTTTTATGCTTTGCTAAAACTTGTAGTTATTGTCTAACTCCCCGAAAATGATTTTGCTAAGTAGGAAACATTGGACATTCCTAAGAATTGTCTTCTAGAAACAGTTTTTACTGACGACTTTCCAGAGATTCTGCAGTTGTCATCAGCACATTTCTGTTTGAGTCTTTGTTCTACTCAGTGTCCTGCACCAGGGTTATCCTACTTTCTGTTTTTCAGCAGGTGAGGAAAGCGACCTCTACCAAGGAACTTTTAGGTTGCTGCTCAGGAAAAAGGTTCTCATTTTTGAAGACAGAAATTCACACTGTGCTTGAAAACTAAAAGCTCTCTTTTCTCCTGTAGGCCAACAGCGGCAGAACTATTGAGGCACAAGTTTTTCCAGAAAGCAAAGGTAGGCAGTCCAGCTTTTGAGTATATGCGTTCATATGATAATCGTCTGTCCACTGTTTATAAGTTGCGTTTTTTTAAGATGATTACATTTGAAGAAATAACAGATAAGTAGATTAGGTAAAATAGACAAAATAATGACTGAAGGTATCATGTATACAGTCTTTGGTAAATAAGATAACTTGCTTTGGGAAGCTGGAATGAAATGCTTTCCACATACGCATGAAGAAGCATCCTTGATCCCCAGACCCATAACAGAAGCTAGTTGTAGAGACTTGGCTTATAATTCCTCTAGAATTGGGGAAGTGGAGACAGTGTGTAGACAGAGTTGTCTTTTCTCAAATTACCATGCAGAAGCTTATATCACTTATAAGTGTTTAGTTGATAGCTCAGGCTTATTATTTATTAGCTCTTACATTTAAATCAATCCATTTCTAATAATCTGCATTCTGGCTCATTTTTCTACACCTCCTGCTTGCTCAGCTACACACTGGTGTCTCCTTACTCTGCCTACTTTCTTCTTGTCATTCTCAGTTTGGCTTTCCTGCCTAACTTTCTGCCCAGTAGGCATTTTAGTAACCAGGGAGAGTAATGCATATTCATAGTGTAGAATTCATGCCACAACAACAGGTAGAGCTCTTTGACTAGTAAGATTAGGCTAATTGGTAAGCCTCAAGTCTCAATGAGAGATCCTATCTTTCCTTTGTTGGTTTTCAAGATAGGATTTCTCTGTGTAGCATCTCTGACTATTCTGGAACTAGCTCAGTACACCAGGCTGGCCTTGAACTCACAGAGATCAGCCTGCCTCTGCCTCCCAAGTATTGGAATTAAAGGCGTGTGTACCACTAAACAAGGTGGATACTGGGCATAATACACACACGTGTACATACATCTGCATACACATGAACAGTTTTCTTTCCTGTTGTAAAAACAATCTGTGAACAATTGAACTCTCCTTTTAAGGCTTAGTTCCTGAACTGATAAATGCCCCCTATCCCAGCCATAATGCATTAGTGTGTTTGGAAATGCAGGGTCAACAAAGGACATCCAGTATAAAAGCCTTCAGAGTGAAAAGATGAGAGCCTCCCCATCTCTTCACTGAACAGTTCTTTATCATATATTGTGATTGACATTTCTGTGTCAGTGTGTGGTTCAGTAAAAAGTTCTGATAATCGAGTTTCTGAGACTGACTTTTATTTTCCAGAATAAAGAGTTTCTTCAAGAAAAAATACTACAGAGAGCACCTACCATTTCTGAAAGATCTAAAAAGGTGAGTGGGTGTGTGTGGGTTTAATTCAGTTTTCTTAGGTTGCTTAGAATAGATTTGCAGGGCTTTTTTGTTGTTTGTTTTGCATTTTTAGCGTGGGTGCTGTTCTGTTCATAGGAATGAGGAGTCTTCATTTTTAGCCCTTTAAAAGCATTTTATGTGCTCAGTCAGCACATACCTGTCAGCTACATGCTTAGGTGTTACTTCACTGTCTCTTAGAAAACAAGGGGCTGGATGGCAGTTGTGAGTCATTTCTAACCCCTGTTGATGACTGTATCCAGCTGTCCAGAGTGAGGTGGGGACTTTGCATAGCACTTCAAGCTTGGGGTATAAGTCATATTATCTCCTAGCTTTAGACATGTTATAGCAAAGCACTGTGTGTGTGTGTGTGTGTGTGTGTGTGTGTGTGTGTGTGTGTGTGTGTGTTATTTCTAAGAACTTATTAAAGTCCTAGTTTGGGCAAAATTGATGTTTGCCATCTCACCATGAAAAAAGTCCCCCATTTCCTTACTCCTCTCCCCTTAAAAAGAAACTTAGCACATGTGAAGAAATGCTGTCCCATGGATTTTGGTTGATGATGAGCTAAAGGGAGAATAGGGTCCTCTGTTCCATGTGGAATAGTAGAAGGCCTTTCTGGAAATGAGGGTCATTCTGGTAGATGGGGTAGTAGAAGGCCTGTCTGGGAGGTTAGGACTATTCTGGTAGAAACTTACAGTTTACTGCTTGAGATGTCTGCCATTATTCAGAAGGTTTTGCTTTAAAGGAAAAAGGTTATATGTCAGGTGGTGGTGGTGCATGCCTTTAATCCAAGCACTCAGACGGCAGAGGCAGGTAGATCTCTCTGAGTTCCAGGTCAGCCAGGGCTACACAGAGAAAGCCCTGTGTGTGTGTGGGGGGAGGGGGCAGGGGGTAGGTGAGTGGAGTGCAGGCAGGGAAACTAGCCTAAAGGTCTCCATTTTCTTCTTGGAACACTTTGTTCCTAAGAAGCTAGCCTTTTCTTCTCCAATATTAAAATCACACTGTCCTTCTATTTTCACTTGCTATTCATTTTCCTGGTATATTTTTTCCCCTTTTATTTATCAGCTGCTGTCGCTTATCAGAATCACAGAGGTTTTAGAGCACAGTTAATCACAGATGACTGAAGTCGAATGTCTGGGGAATGGGAAGGTTCTTTGCATGGCTGACCACATGGGGGAGCACTGTTCATTGTCCTGATCACTTTAGGCATTAGTGTAGCACTTCCTCAACCACACTTCCGGACCGCCCCATAGTTTTCTGTTCCTCCCTGTTCTGCTTTACTTTGAAGAGCTCATCACCGTCTGCCGTGTGACGACAGCCTTTCTACACTACCAGAACAAACGCTGTGTTCACTGCTTTGTTTTAGTAGGCCTTTGTACACTGTAACATTCGGAAATAATAATTTGAATGCAGTTTAAAATCTCTGTGCTTGTAATTGCAGTAAATCCTAATTGAAATTGCTCAGTGTCTGTGGTGCAATTTCTTTAAGATCGGTGGGCCTCAAAGGACTGCACAGGACAGGTTTCATAGCATATCCCTGTAACAAAACACTTGTAGTATTTTGGAGGCTGAAACAAAAGGATTGTAAGTGTGAAGCTAGCCTGGGCAGTGTTGTGAGAAGCTGTCTCAAAATTAAATTCTGAAGTTGGGATGCATGAAAGCATGAGTTCACATCTCCAGAACGCGCAGAAAAGGCCAGACATGGGAGAGAGAGCAGCCTGTAACTCTGCCTGGGGAGTGAGCGCATGGAGACAGATGGATCCCTGAAGCTCACTGGTTACTCAGCAGCCTGGGCAAATTGACAATCTTCTTTCAGGGACCTTGTCTTATAAAGTAAAGGGGAGGTGCTGGAGAGAGGACCGTGGGTAAGAGCACTTGTTGCTCTTGCAGAGGTCTTGGATCCTATTCTCAGCACTCACATGGTGACTCACAACCATCTGCAATTCCACTTCCTAGGGGACTGTGCTCTCTTTTGGTCTCCATGGGCACCATAGTATGCACATGGTGCACATACATCCAAGAAAAACATACATAAAGTAGAATAAATAAACTTAAAAATGTAAATGGAAGGACAATTGAGGAAAGATAACCCCTTATGATGATCTTGGGTTCTTACATGCTCACGAACACATACATATATTCATAATTTCACATGTACCTTCCATAAGCATGTACACATACACTGTCACAGCTATAATTTGATGGCAGAATACTTTTCTAGTAAGTCTGAGGCCTTGAATTCAATCCACAGTACTTCAAAACAAAACCCATAAAATTGGGCTAAAAGCAGGAGGGTTAGTTGAAAATTAGATTCTACCTACCTTTTATTCCATGTTGTACGCTGGAAGATGAGAAATTTATTTTGCAGAAAGAGCAAAAATGCTATCTAACCAAAGGACAAGTCTGGTAAGATGGCTCAGCAGGTAAAGAAGACCTCCAGAAACCACATTGTAGGAGAGAAACCAACTCTTCCAGAAGAAAGAGAGGGGGAACTGACCTCTGTGAACATACACACTCTTTCTCTAAATAAATGCTAATAAAAAGATTGAGAATTCCTACAATTCAGTAAGTAACAAACAAACCCAATTTTTATTATGAGTAAAAGGTGGACTATAAAATGTTCCAAAGAATATGCACAAATGACCAGTAAGTCTGCAAAAAAGATGCCCACTCTAATTTGTAGCCAAAGAAATTAAAGTAACAAGGAGTTAATCTTTCATACCCAGTAATATGTCCACCATAAACAAGACTGTAATTGTTGGTAAGGATCTGTAGAAATTGTAGCCTTTGACCTTGCTGATTAGAATGTAAATGATGCAGCTGCTTTGAAAACCGCTTGACACTTTCTGTAGTGGCTGAACAGGGCACCCTGTGACCTCCTGTGCACACTCAGGGATGTTGGAAGCGTGTTCAAGAAGCTTGCAGCATTCATAATAATCCCAAAGTACAAAACATTCATGAGCCAATGAACAGTTGTGTAATATATGTTGTGTCCATAGCAATGAAACATTATTTGCTAATAAAGAATGAAGTACAGATGCTGTTCTACTGATAGTGGGTCAACTCATGATTTTGTGAGAAAACAGCAGGCATTTGGTAGCAGCCTTGCTTTGATGCCAGAGTTAGTAGCATGCTTCTAACCTGAAGCTTGATGCAGTGTGATCACTTGAGCTCAAGAGGTTTGAGACTAGATTGGACAATGTAGTGATACCTCATCTAAAAAACTAGAAGGAAAGAAGGGTAGAATAGGGAGGGGAGGAGATGAACAATCACCACCCTACAAACATTTCCTGGGCCAGCAATATGCAGTCCATGCTCCCTAGAGAGGCTGGCAGCTACGTTACTTGGAGCTTACCATTGGTAAGCTGTGCTGCTTGCTAGGGTAGGTGGATTAAATGTATTTTCAACTTCACACATATGCACGCATGTGTGTGTGTGTGTGTGTGTGTGTGTGTGTGAATTAATATATATATATATAGTATGAATCCCAGTTGGAAGTTGAGGAGCATGCTGTAACATAAAATAAACCTTTAAGACATGTACGTTAAAGAAATCAGTTATTCAATAGTGCGAAGTATATGATTCTATGTGAAATGTTCAAGAATGCACAGAGACATGAAGTAGGCTAATTTCCCAGGACTGGGGGAAGGTGGAGAGAAATGGGCAGTGACGTTTGGTGGCTATGATGTGTATGAAGAATGGCGATCAAAATGTTTTCAATTTGAATGTAGTAATACTTAAATTCTAAATAAACCAAAAACCAGTCAGTAGAGCTTTTCTCATTGGATAGATTGTATGGTGTGTGAATTATCTCAGTGAAGTTATTTTAAAAAGCGATTATCCATTGGGGTAAATTGAAAGCACAGTAATTTAAAAAAATGGGCACAAACTTTGTAGGATAAAGGTAGGGAAGTGTTTCAGGAAGGAGGGTCAACTAGAAAGGCATAAGAAAGGTGAATGAAAGGAGAGGACTGCTCGGAAAGGTCAGCACTGACGGGTTTTAGAAATGGAGAATCCCAGGAGAGAGCATCCTCAAGTGATGGTCAGAAGCTTCCAGATGGGAGGAGCCAGAGTACCCCGCTCATAGATCACTGTACATTACTGTGGAGCCCAGGATAACCAAGGCAAAAAGATTGGGGAAGCCTGCTGTGGTGATAAACACCATGACTCACATCCACCAGCTGAAGAGGAAAGTGGTGGAGGCCACCTTGAGCCACGTGGTGTTCCAGGCCAGTGTGTCTTCCAGAGAGCAGAGTCATTTTAGCATCACTGAGACAGACTGGTTAAGACGGTTGCGGTTAAAGTACTGGAGAGAGCAGATTGAGGGTTAGGGGGTGTGGATTCCTATGGGCTGACTTACCAGGATAATAATGATCATTATTAAATGATCTATTTATGTGGTAGAAGGGATGGGAAATAGAATGGAGGTTTCTGTTCAATTTATCCAAAACAGTACCATAATTCCCATGCCTTTCTTTTGCTCAGGTTCGGAGAGTACCTGGCTCCAGCGGCCGTCTGCATAAGACGGAGGATGGAGGCTGGGAGTGGAGTGATGACGAATTTGATGAGGAAAGTGAGGAAGGGAGAGCAGCAATTTCCCAACTCAGGGTGAGTTTTATTGGACTGGATAGACCCTTTTGCTGGAGTTGTCTGTGCTTCTTGTTACAGCTCGATGAGCTAATGCAAAGAAGACAAGTGCTACTGACAAGTTTTCCAGGTAGTTCTGTGTAGCAAATTGACAGGCATCTCTCAATGTGAAGACATGTAGGATATATGAAAATGGCCATGTCTAGAGGTGAAAACTTTCTTGCTATGGGGAGTCCGTGGATGGTACTCATGGCTAGACACTGCAGAAGAACTGTGAACTAGAAGACCTTGCAGCATCAGACCACGTCCCTGAAGCCTGCTCCCTTTCTGTGGAGAGGAGCAGTGCACTGCTCTAGTTGGTGTGCACTGGATCTTTTCCCTTGTTTGCTGCTGTGTTTGTGTGTGTGTCTTAGGGCCTTCCTTTTCCTTTGCTTCTTCATTCTTAACCCCAAATTATGCAAAGATATATGTCTCGATGGATGCCAAGTATTTAAGGGCTCTATATCCTTTCCTGCTGAGTATTTTTTTTGAGGGGGAGGAGCATTATAATGGGCTTGTTTATATCTTTGCCTAGTGGGATCTACTCTCACAGGCGTTCTTAGGGTTATTTTTGTAGTTGTTGATTTTATTTTGAGATGAGATTTCCCTGTAGATCTGGCTGTTTTGGCACTCTCTATAAAGAGCAGGCCTTGAACTTATAGAGATCCTCCTGCCTCTGCCTCCCAAATGCTGGTATTAAAGATGTGTGCCACTGTTGGACCCTAGAGTCCAATCACCGAGGAGGAGTCGCCCCAAAAGACCATCTCTCATGCCACAGCTGACATAAAAGCATGAGGATTTTATTAATTCTATCATGACAGGGTCTTTCAGTATTCAAAAAGTCAGAAAGACCCCGACTGGCTGGTATAGGCTACTTTTAAAGGAAAAAGCCACAGAAGCAAGGGGCGGGGGTGTCTGGGGGTTGTTCTTTGATTATTATGATTGACTCATTCAAAAGGGCTATTACCAATAATTGGTTCGAGAGCGGTTGCCAGATCTGATGAGGTAAGGAGGAACATCTGAGGGTCACTTTGTCCCCTTTCCAGGGACTTAGTCAAAACATCAGTAACTGAATCAAGAGGGGTTATCTTGCCCCTATTCAGGAGATGGAAAGTTCCCAACATCTCAGTACGTGCATGTATAGCTGTTAGGTCCTTGGTTCCTGGGCCATGCGGGGGCGGGGGAGCACTACTGCTGAGAGGCCCCAAAATTGACCTCAGAGTTGTCAGAAATGGCTTTAGAGTTATTTTAGAGTTCTACAGCACTATGCCCAGTATCAGTAGGACTCTTAATTTATCATCATTGACTTTTTACTTACCTGATAGATTTTTAAGTATTTTTTTGTATAGCTAAGTTTTTTAAGGTCTTTCCAATGAAAATTGGCAATTATTTATTAAACATCGAGCTTAGAAAAGCCCTACAAAAGATACAAACGTTCAGTTTTCCTGTAGGTGCATTCATTGTTTTCTCCCCATGCCCCTTATGAGATCTTCAGCTCTTGCAGCTCTCTTTGCAGACTACTGAGCATGCAGACACAAAGGAAAGTTTAAATCCAGGCACCACATGTGATGTATTTGTCTTTGTCTGCTTACATAATGATTCCCAATTTCACTCATTTTTCTACAGATGCCATGCTTTTGTATTTTTTGTGACTGAATAAAATTCCATTGTATATTTACCACGTTTATTTTGACCAGTTTTCTGTTAGTACACATGTAGCTGGATAATACCTGTGAATATGGATGTACAAGAAAATTTGTAATAGGACTTTGAAAATATGTCAAATAACTAGCCTAAAGGATTGTTAGATTTGGCCTATGATCGTAGGTATATAGTATGTTTATGATTATGTTTGTTAATGTAATCATTAACATAGACATTAGTCTATGTTTATGATTAATGGAAAGAAACTTGCTTTTGAGTATGATCTTTACTACCTGAGAACATACACTGAATGGATGTTTGCTTATAAAACTGTTTTTGTTAAATTTTCTTTTTGTTTGGCTCAGTTGTATTCCATCCATTTTGCTTGAGACCAGTGCTGTAGTGGGTGTGTAGGGGGGTGTATGTCTCAACTGTGTATCCCTGGTTGGCTTGGAACTCACAGAGATCCTGCCTCTGCCTCCTGAGTGCTGGGATTATATGCATGAGCCCCCCCCCCCATGCCTCCCATAAACTGTTAACTTGTAATACAGCAAGTATATTGATGTGTTCATTATGGGTTGCTTGAACAAAAACTAATATCAAACAGCTTTCTTTCTTTCAAAAAATTTGGCCTTGAGTCAATTTGTGGGTCAGGATGGAATGGCCGACCACTAATTAGTGTTATTTGCAGTTGCTTGAACCTGACTGCAGATAACTCAGTTTGGAGCTCGTTAACACGTCTTCTCCTTTGTCTTTCAGTCTCCCCGGGTGAAGGACTCACCGTCAAACTCTGAGGTAAGTAATGGGGATGTCACATTCTTGTTAAAACAGACTTCTTATTTTGGTTTTAATGTTAAGTTATTCCGTCTGTCTTTGTCTCTGTGTATTGCTTTGTGCTTAATTAATTGTTAATGAGGTATTATAGCAGCCAGATCTGATGTTGCTTAAAGCTCAGACTGTTTCTTGCTTGCTGAACTGTTTTTTTAGGCTTGAACTGTTTGAAGTGGAAGGCAGTTGTTTTGCTTCGATATGTCTAGGAACTTGTCATATTGTTGTCCTTGCATTTGATTTTTTTTAAAGCAAGTAAACCCTGGGGTTTGTTTTGTTTTGTTTTGTTTTGTTTTGTTTTGTTTTGTTTTGCTTTTTGTACTTAATTGTACCAGTGTGATAGGAAATTCAGTCCAACAGCGTTCTGTAAAGTGGATTTTTCTATCTTACTATCTGAAAGAAGTAATTTCATGGGTCTGTTCTGTTGTATATACTCTTCCTTCTGGTAGCGCCTTCAATTTTGGGTACAGTAGGTGATTTAAAAACATACATTTGCTCTTAATTTGTGTGCTTAGTATATAGATTCCATGCACTACTGAGTACATGACTTATGTTTACAGAACTATAGTGTGTATCTTAATTACCAGCAGCCTAGTATCTGCTGCCTGTTCCTATTCCTCATTGCTCTTCGTCCTGGACCTGAGATTATGTGTGCCCCTGTTAGTTCTTTTGGCCAGTGGAAAGGTAGCAGGGCTCTGAGGTTACGGCTTTGTTGGTAGATTGCTTCCCTAGCATACCTGAAGCCTTGGGGTCCATCAAGGTGCAACATAAAACTTGGTGTGGATTCCAGTTCTTAGCAGGTAGGAGAGTGAGAAATTCAAGATCAACCAGGTGGTGGTAGCATATGCCTTTAACCCCAACACTCAGGAGGCAGAAGTAGGTGGATCTCTGTGAGTTCAAGGCCAGCCCGGTCTATAGAGAATGTTTCCTGGACATAACAACAACAAAAAAGTTCACGGTTATTCTTGGCCACATTATGTGTCCACAGCTAGCCTGGAACACATGAGACCTGTCCTGCACCTACCCTCTTACAAAGCAGAAGGAGGGGTCACTATGTAGGTCCCTCTGCCACTATTAACTGTATTTCTGTGTAACTGTGATACCACGCTTAATAGCTTGTGCTGCTCAGGTAGACTTGAACTGGATAGAAGAAACACCTTTAATTGCTTTTAGCTACTGAAAGTTTGGAGCTGTTGCTTCTGATTTAACTTGCATTGATTAGCTTCTCAAAAATTAAATGAGAATATATTTTACAGATTATCCCGAGTTTTTCTGTTTAGTCTTCTCATTTTCTTTCCTTAAAAGCGTCTCCATGTGAGTTCTTCTATACCCATGTTTTCATGCTATTTACATTTTTTTTAATTTAGTTACAGTCATTTTCAGCTTGGTGACATTGAGTACATTCTTTCTTCATTGCAACCTTTGCCACATCTGTCCCAAGAACTTTTTACCTTTTCATGCTAAAACTCTATTCATTAAATTTTCTCTCACCTCTAGCTCCTGACAATGTCTTTTATATTTTTTCTCTCTATGAACTTGATTATTCTACATATTTCCTGTTAGTGGAGTCATAATATTTGTTCTTTTCTCGCACAGTGTCTTTAAGGTTTGTCCATGTTGTAGCATTTCAGAATGTCTTCCTGATTTTTAAGCCTACATACATGATATATGGGTGTAGTATATTTTCTTTGTTCATCTGCCAAAGTACAGTTGAAGTGCTGCTGTCTTTTGGCAATTGGAGAAAATGCTGCAACGAATGCGAGTGTGTAATAGCTGTTCTCAGTTCTCTGAACCATACAGCTAAAAGTGGAATTGCTGAATTTTGGTAATTCTGTTTATATTTTCAACTTGTTTGGTTTGAGGCAAGGTATTACCTTGTAGTCCAGGCCTGCTTTAAACTCACAGTCCTACTGCCTCAGCATCCTAAGTACTAGGATTACAAGTCTGTGACACTGTGCTGTTTAGGTTTGTGATAAATAGCTGTATTCTTTTCTGTAGTGCCACCATTTTTTAAAAAATCACTACCAACAGTGTAATGAGATTTCAGGTTTTTTTTTTTTCATATTACCTTAATGATTCCTGCTTTGCTTTGGTGACAGGATCTCATATAGCCCAGTGTGGCTTCTAACTCACTAAGAAACCATGGCTGACCTCTTCAGGGAGAGCATTATAGACTTGTTCCATCGTGTTTGGTTTTATGTATTATTAGTATTCAAACCTAGGGCTCTGTGCATACGAGGTTGGGCTATTTCTTCTTATTTTACTTCTTTGTTTTTCTCTGTCCTTTTGGTCTTTATAGTTAAATAGTCATATCTGTATGTATGTATGTATGTATGTATGTATGTATGTATGTATGTATGTATGTGTCTGTCTGTCTGTCTATCTATCTATCTATCTATCTATCTATCTATCTTTGTGTGTGTAGGAGCACATGTGTGTGGGTGCTCACCGAAGACAGGGAATGGCATCAGATTCCTTGGACTGATGTTACAGGCAGGTGTTACCTGCCTGATATGGGTACCGAGAACTCTGGTCCTCTGTAAGAGGAGCAAGCCTTCTTATCACACACTGAGTCATCTCTCCAGCCCATTTCCTTGATTTTACTTACATGCAGTGTTAGAGAGAGAGAGAGAGAGAGTATGTGTGTGTATATGTCTGTCTGCCTGCTTGTCTGTCTGTTTGCCTACCTATTTATCAATTATTTTCTGTCAAAAGTAGGCCTCTATCATTGTCTGTTGACTTTTCTTTCAGTACTAAAATTGTCTGCTACATTGATATTTTTCCCAGTTGCTATTTTAAAATGTTTAGCTTACTTGGTAGTCAAGATCTGTTTTCCCTCCAGATTACTTACTTAAAATGTATTAAATATTTGAAGCATACAGATTGAAGCAAATCTGTTAGTTACAAAGCTTCCTATCCTCCTCTGCCCCTCAGACAAGATCTCATTGTGTAGCCTGTTTTGCCTTGGCCTCCTTCCTTTGATATGTGTTGTGTATAATATTAGGTAAATATAAAATAATATTCCTTGAGGCCTTGTCAAACAGCCCTGGTGTTTTTTCTCGTTTGTCCTTCCTTCTTCTTTATTACTCTTCCTTTTCCCTTCCCAGTGGGAACCCCTCCCTGCTAGTACCTTTCCTACCTCCTAGCACCTGTTTCCTGCTGCTCCTCTCCCCCGCCCACATCTGTGGTCCTCTTCAGTGTTGTATACTTATCTGAGGATTTGGAGCTAGGATCCTCAGGTGAGAGAATATGAAGCATTTGTTTTTCTGGGTCTTGCTTTCCTCAGTATAATCTTTTTTAGGTCTCTCCTTTTACCTCTGAAGTTCATGATTTCATTTTCTTTACAACTGAATAAGTTCCCTGTGGTGTATATGATCCATATTTTTATTGTCCTTTCATCTGTCGCAGTGGATGTAAGTTGTTTTCATTTCCTGGCTATTGTGAATAGAGCAGCCATGAACACTGCCTTTGCCTCATGAGTGCTGGGATTAAAGACATGTGCCACCACCGCCCAGCTGTGTTTCAGGTTTTTAAGCGAGGTCTTTGATCCACTTGCATCTAATTTTTGTGCAGGGAGAAACTACAGGTCACATTTCATTCTGTGTGTCTATGGGGTAGGTTATCAAGTCCTTCGGGCATATCTCAGGAGTGGCATGGCTGAATCATGATTTATTTACTTTTAGTTTCCTACCAACCATTTTCCATGACCTTGCCAGTATTGCCTATCAGTTGTTTTGTTGATCTAAGCCATTCTGGCTGGGGTGTTTTAATTTGTGTTTCTCTAATTGCTTAGGATGGTGAACACATTTTGAGTGTTTTTAGGCCATTTTTATTTCTTTTGTTGAAAATTCTCAATTTAGATCCTTAGACTACTTTTTTTAATTGGGTCATTTGTTTCCTTGATTCTTTGTCTTTTGAGTTGTATATTGTGGTTATTAATCCTCTGTCAATTATATAGCTGTCAAAGAGTCCCATTCTGTGGACTTCTTCACATGGTTGATTGTGTCCTCAGCTGTACAAAAGTTATAGTTCTTAGTTGTCAGTTGTTGGCTTTGCTTCCTGGGCAAATGGAGTCTTTTTCATAAAGTTCTTATAGCGTATGGCCTGTATTTTCTTCTTGAAATTTTAGTGTTTCAGGTTTTTTGTTTGTTTGTTTGTTTTGTGTGTGTGTGTTTTTTTTTTCAAGACAGAGTTTCTCTGTAGCTTTGGAGCCTGTCCTGGAACTAGCTCTTGTAGACCAGGCTGGCCTCGAACTCTCTGAGATCCACCTGCCTCTGCCTCACCACTGCCCAACCATGTCTCAGGTTTTTAATTGAGGTCTTTGATCCACTTGCATCTAATTTTCGTGCAGGGAGATAGATACAGGTCACATTTCATTCTTCTACACATGGGGATCCAGCTTTCCCAGCACCGTTTCTGGAAGATGTTGTCTTTTCTCTCATTTTTTTCTTTTCTTCTCTAGGGCCACAATTTTAGAAGCCAAATTTTATAGTTGTGGTGGCTGCCTCTGCTTGGCCTCTTGTGAGGCTCAGACTGTACCATGACACGACAGGTTTCATGACGTGGAAACGTGCAGAAGAGATGGCGTAGCTAGAGAGTCTAGACTGTCGTTAAGACAGCCCACTCCCTTCCCACAGGGTTCATCTTCTAAAGGCTTTACTGTTATATTTCAGACCATTGCTAGACTAGGTGTGATGGCAAGTTCCAGACCAGCCTGTTTAATAAAGCAACAAAACACCCTCTTCTAAAAACCCCAAACCAAAAAGATTTTAGAATGCTTAGCAATACTGACTTGTATGTAGTACAAGGTGCAGAGACATGGTAATAAGTCAGTGTGAAGACAGGACTCTGTGTGGTGTGGGTCTGTGAGCCCAACCAGATGTTGTAGACCACTTTCTGCTACTTAACAGTCCTGCCTGTGTTTGCCACAGCTCTTCTCAGCAGCTGATCCCATGGGTACTTTACTCCAAGTTCCAGAACAGATTTCTGCTCATCTACCTCAGCCAGCTAGCCAGATGCCTACACAGCCTGATCAAGTCTCTTTCCTGCCCCCAGCAGAGCCAGCAAAAACAGCACAGGTATACTGGGGTGGACGTTCATGGTCTGTCACTTTGTGGGCAGATGAAAAAAAAAATCAGTGCTGCCTGTGAACTCTGAGGTTGTTATTTTGGTTTAGAACAAGGAGAATTCTGTCTTAATAGTTTTACAGGTACAGATAGAAGAATTCTATAAGAATTACACAGGTTTTTAAGCAGCAAAATAAGTTAATCATGAAAACATACAAAGTATAAAAATTTGGCTAATATTGTCCATTCTTCATTGATGATCTTTGAGAGTTAGCCATCTTTCCTTTTTGTTCACTTACACTCATTAATACTTCTTTTTCAGACTCTGTGTTTTCAGAATTATTCTATTTAAGGTATCTATTTTGTGAGTTGATTTTGTTAAAATTGGTAAAAATTTAATTAAGTACACAGAGTTGTCCTTAAATTGCAGTATAGCAGAAGTGTTTGGGTGATAGCGGCTTCACTGAGAATCCCTGTATGCTATGTAACTATGGTTCCTCTCTGGAAACTTCTGATACTCTGTATCATGGAGTCTTATTGCCACTTGGCTGAAGTAAGAGTTTCAGTGTCAGTTTCTTTATTAATTATTAGAATTGCCCCCCCCCCCCAATGCTAGGTGAGAAAAGACATGGGAGTTCTGATGTTCCCTTTTGTGCTTGAGGATATCACCATCTCATGGGCAGTCTCTGGAGACCACTGCTCTGAGAACTGCCCTTCCTTTGTCTGTCATGTAGGGAAAATACGGGTGTCTTAGGAAAACTGACAGAAAGGTTGGGTTAATTTCATACACAGATAGAGTGTATGTCCTCCAGCAAGCAAAGGGTAGTATAAGGTTTTCAGAAAGATTTTCTTTATTCACAAAACCCCTGGGACTTGGGTTAAATTGAGTCTTGGGGGACAGCTAGTTTAGGCTTTTCCTTGGGAATAACTTTCTGATTGTGTTTGACATGGCTGACAGTTGCCTTTTATTGCTCCTTTAGAGTTGATGCCCTCCCACAGCAGGGGATGTCTTAGGGACTAGAAGGATTTGGGCTAGAGGAAAGTTAGTGTCTGTCATAGATGACCCTTTACTAAAGTTCCTGTCAGTGACTTTATTTTGTCAATGCATTTCAGGCTCAGTCTTCAGGAGACCGCTCCCAGGAGACCAAGGTCCCTATCAGTCTTGTGCTGAGATTAAGGTCAGTAGGCACTTGCTGCTTTCTGAATACTCTGTAGATGCTGTAATAGTTGGGACTAAGAGTAACTGCATAGGATTGTGCTTCCAACAGAGATGTGTCATGTATACCGTTAGACATTGTGTTGATTTCTCTACCTTAACTAGGATTTCTAGGGAGCCTGGATAGTTTCGGTTCTCAGCACATTGAATGTTAACATCTGTGTTTCACCAGTCGCATGAGTTTCTGAGTCATATTAACTGCTTCCAGGATGGCCCCAATTCCTTCCCCTGCCCTCTCTGCCTGTTCAAATCCTGACCATCTCAGGTCCTATTTAAAAACTATTTCTGAGCTGAGCAAATGCGCACGCCTTTAATCCCAGCACTCAGGAGGCAGAGGCAGGCAGATCTCTGTGAGTTCGGGACCAACCTGGTCTACAGAGTGGGAGTTCCTGGAAAGGTTCCAAAGCTATACAAAGAAACCCTGTCTTGAAAAAACCAAACCAAACAAACAAAAACCTAACTAGCTATCCTTAAATTAGCCTATAGCCTCTCAATACTGCATTAGGGATTAATGTTCCAACACAATATCTTTATGGGTCTAATTCAGACCATAGCATTATCTTAGTGGGGAATAAGGGCCGGAATGGGCATGAGTATCCTCAGATAAGAGATTCTTCTATTCATCAGTAGGCGGGTAATAAACCCAAAGGTATAGAAGGTAATTTGATGATACTGCTAAGTGTTAGCTCAGAGCTAATCAGGACAAAGTGTATGATCTGTGGGAAAAGAATAATCTTTCTGTATATACATATACATTCACATATAATTACATACTATATATATATATCCATACATATACATGCTTGCATATAAAGACACATACCATTAATCCCGCTGGTTGAGATTAAGACCACTACTGCATTTAGAGTCAAATTTGAAACAAGCTTTAATTAAATACTGACCAGGTTGAGGGACTCTCTGGCCCAGTCCATCTCTGATTTCCCAGGAAATGGACCCAAGTCACATTTTGCAGGGGCTTAAAAAGACAAAACCCATAGTTCACTGCATTTCCCATGAGGTGAGTTCCAATCACATGCAAGCATACATTCTAACATACTTCCTGCCTTCATACCTCTCACTTACATCCAATCAGGGGCAAGGGTACATCCTGACATAGTTTCTGCCCACATACCTCCAGCATTTCAGGAACTATTGGTCCTTGGAAAAGGCCTACAGATCAGAGGCATTTTTGTTTCCTGGATCTCTTAGGCATATTAATTGAAACTTAAAATGTAACTTTGGCTCTCACAGTACATACATATATACACATACATGTATACACACACACACATATATATTGGCAGACTATAATAAATTCTGCATAAATCCAGAAATTCTTATTTTCTTTATTCTGTTTTCTTTCATAGAAATTCCAAAAAAGAACTAAATGATATTCGATTTGAATTCACTCCTGGGAGAGGTAAGTATTATTAAATAAAAATGGTCAAGAACCACAATGACTAATAATTTGCTACCTAATTAGGTCTAAAGTTTTTGTCATTTATATTTGCTTTTAAATGATGGTAAATTTTTCTGGCTTAGGTTTCGGGGATAGGCATGAAGAAAAACTGTATGGGTTTACTAGTTCTTTCACGTGGAAACTGACTGTAATAAGATGTATAGTAATGAACGTAAGCCCACTAGTTAATATCACTGTTGGTCATGCATGGCCTTAACATTATTTCATTCAGTTTTTAAGACAGCCACCTAAGGAAAAATGATTCCCATTTAACAGAGGATGAACTCCAGGGTTAAAAGAAGGCAGAATAACTTGCTCATCGCTAGAAAGAGGCATTGAGGTTCATTTAGTTTAATTTCTTTGAGAGTCCAGAGTTCTTCTTCTTATCATTGTTCATGCTTCTTCTCTCTGATAGTGAACAAGAGACATGCTCCAGGCTCTCTTTCCATGCAGAAGCTGAACCTTGTCACAATACTGTTTCTAACTGAACTCCACTCTGTAACATGCCTTCTGTTTTCTTGACTTGTTAACTCAGGCTTCTGAGTTGAGGAGCAGACAGCAAATGTCTGTTGCTAGATTCCACAGTTAATGTTCCTTCTTTAAGGAGAATGAGTGCAAATACATAGAGGGTATGTGTTAACGTTTTAGGGGTGGTTCTAGGAATTTTAATTGTTAGTCATTGTATAAATTTGTGCACACTGACTCTGCATTGGTTCTCTTGTTCCTCAGCGAGATTTTAATATCTCATCAGTTAAAGATGAATTTGGTTGGTTTGTTTGCGTATTTAAGACCGGGCCTCATTGTGTAGTGTATCCTTGAATTCATAGAGATCTGCCTCCCTCTGCCTCCAGGGCGATGTGATTAAAGGTTCACGCCAGCATGCCCAGCCTAAAGATGAAATTACATTGAGATACTTTGCTTTTATCTACTTGGTTTCTGGTTATACCTATCACTTATATTGTATTGCCTTGCATGAGTAGATAAGAAAACAAATGGCCAGAATACTGATAATAATTTTAATAAACTTTTATGATTATCAGAAAAGATTCTAAAGTATTTTCTTAAGTTTTGAGAATAAATTTCCATATTGCTGGCACCTAATTTTATGTCTGAAAACTCTGAAGCTCAAGTCCAGAGTTATATTCAGCATAGGATGTTTGGTCATCACTGTAGGTGCTTTTCTGATATGGGTGTGAGCTCTACATTTTACAGTTTAGAAATTCATCTCTTCCTTGAGTTGATATTTGCCATGTAGTGTAGTTCTTATGGATTCTGCTTCCTAGCCAAACCTATGTAAATTCTCACTTGAGAGTCAAGGACAGCCCCCACCTGCCTTTTTTATTCTGCAGATTTAGTAGCTAGTGGTGACCCGTTGAGAGTTACAGTGACGCTGGGCACTGGTGGCACATGCCTTTAATCCTAGCACTTGGAAGGTAGAGGCAGGAGGATCTCTGTGAGTTTGAGGCCAGCCTGGTCTACAAGAGCTAGTTCCAGGACAGAGTCAAAGGTACAGAGGAAGCCTGTCTTAAAAAACCAAAAGCAAAACAAAAGAAAAGAAAGAAAAAGAAAGTTACAGTGACAGGTGTACATGAGAAGTACAGCACGTGATCCTTGTCCTTGCAGATACAGCAGAGGGTGTCTCTCAAGAGCTCATTTCTGCTGGCCTCGTCGATGGAAGGGACTTAGTAATAGGTAAGCATATTACTTTCTGCCCTTAGCCCTCATGTCATCTTGTGTACATGGTACCTAGAAACCCAGCTTCCAGTAAGCAGCTCTGATGCTTCTTGAGATAGTCTCGGCTTCACTAAAATTACAGTATCAAGAAGAGTTCCATACCAGAGCAAAAAAGCAAAAACCTGTCCTACGTCAGACCTCCGAGAGCAGTAAATGTCTCTGGGACACTTGTAGAAAAGACAGGAAACTCACAAGTTTGTAAGTTAATGGTTCTTCATTTCTGATATGTTGGCATAACTAATCTTTGTAGGACACAGAAGTGAGGAGGATAGAGATTGAATCCTAGAAATACAAAGTGAAGACAGGCCACAGTTGCTAAGATAGTCGAGCTGCCAGCATTTTGCTATGAAACACTAACTTAATGGGTAGTTTAGGCTTTGTGAACCTTGTATAGCTGTGTGGTTTTTCATTGTCCGGGGTACAGGGTCTTGCTCTGTAACCTGAGCAGACATGGAACACAGTGCTAGAGTGACAGACAGCTGTACGTCTCCCAGTTGGGTTTTACAGTCTGTCATTTGAAAATTATTCTGATTTATAGATCGAACAAAAACAGGTCTCAGGCTATACTTGGTTGATTCCTAGTCATAGACTTTCTGGTCTGTTAACATAAGGCATACCTTTTAATAAACTGTCTGGAAAAGGGTAGCTAATACATGTTAAAGACAGTTAATTTAATAATGATTCAGAATTTATTTATTCAGTCTGGAGTTCAATAATAGCTTTGATTTGGATAATGACTGGCCTTTTTCTTCCATTTTGATTGCACATCAAAGATTCTTAACCACCATTTTAAGATTTTAAAATATTATTTAAAATGTATTTATGTAGCTGCTCATTCATTTTCTTTGTTTGTATGATTACAGTGGCAGCTAATTTGCAGAAAATTGTGGAAGAACCTCAGTCAAATCGATCTGTCACTTTCAAACTGGTATTCACCCCCCTTACCCCTCTGCAGACTAGCCTTTCTAGTCCCTGAATGCCAGGACTTAGAAAATGCTGATCTCTCTTTTACTCTTTCTAAGACCCCTGGCTGAATTTCAGTGGCCTCACTTTCTCCCTCTCAGAAGCCTGCAACCCAGACCTCTTAATTTCTCCCAGGAAAATTATAAAGCTGTTTGACTCTAATTGTCCCAACAGCCCCTATTATTTCTTGAAGAAAGTAGTTCTCTATTTATGTCCCAGAGACCTTTTACCTACTATCTTCCTTTCTGCAATCCTTATCAGTTTTTATTGCTACCTGAAATTTTATTTATAAATTGCCACACCTTGTCATTTTGTTTGATTCTCAGGCATCCGGTGTTGAAGGTTCAGATATTCCTGATGATGGCAAACTAATAGGATTTGCCCAGCTCAGCATCAGCTAAACTACAGTTCTGGAAGAGTCAGCCTAAGGAGGTGCCACACATGCATATCTGTTGCTTCTGTTGGCCTGGACCTACAACTGCCAAAGAACCCAGCAACAAACTTCCTGGCTTGGAGCTTTAGAGTTTTTTATTTATGTTCTTCTTGCCATCCTCCCCACCCCTTTTCCCTTAAGAAAAGAAAAGTTGGATTACCAGTGGCCAGCATCTCCTCAGAGAGTTCCGTTAGTAGATACGATGCTCATGTCCCCTCTCTTCCACCATCTGAGAAGCAGCCAGAGTGCCTCAGGGCCCAGGATGGAAATCTCTCAGTTCATTCTTGCCTTACTACAGCGATGGCCCAAGTGGATAGTGGAGCTGCATTGGGCATCCTCATCTTGCCTGTTCTCCCACACCTGCCGGGATTTGAGCATCTTGGGATTTCTCTTTAACACTGAAGTAGCAATTAAAAGTTGATTGTTCCAGCTGGAGCCCAGAGAATTTAATTAGTGTTTTTTCTTTGTACCTGATAAGAATTCTAGCAACCTTTGTTAGGAAAAAGCACAGCCTCAGATGGAGGCAGCCTAAACTCTTGTCTGTTGTGTTCATGGTGTCTCTCTGCGTGTTTTGCTGAAGCTGTTCTCAGGCACCCCCTTCATTGCCCCCTCCAGAAAGGGTTGCTAGCCTTAACTTCAGCTGGTGCAAAACATCTGACAGCAGTCAGACTTCAGCCATCTGCTCCTTCAAAGTGGAACTGTGGATTGTTTTTGCAGAAAACATCAAGCAATGACTTTTAACTCTTATCTTGCCAGTGGCAGTTTTTGAACAAGAAAAGGAACTCATAAGTCATAGCATTGGGAAGGTGTTTTCAATTTTTAAAAAATTAAACTGAAGAAAAACTGATCCTTGATCCTCCTGTGAAGACATATTTGCTTGGCCTCTGTGTAATGAGGAAATGGGTGTACACAGCTGAGATTTTTCACAGCAATAAAGGAGACTCAGCCTGGGTTAGAGGCCTGCCTTCTGCTCCTCTCCTGCACTGACTCCTTGGAGGGGGTCTTCATTCCCAAGATGGAACATGAAACCACACGTGCCGTGACCTTTAGGTTTTATGAGTACACAGTGTTAATTTGATTTTCTACAGAAATTATGTAAATTATTCTTTAGTTTTAAAAAACACTCAACGCAATATGTGAATAATCAATGGGGTTAGTTTTTCTTTTTTTTCCTACTGTTTAATAGCATTTGTCTAATTGCTAATAAGCCTACCAAGTTAGCCAAATTTTGTATAAGAATGGGACAGTCAGCCTGGCCTTAAAGAGACACGCGAAGATGGGCCTTGAGCCCTAGAAAGGGAGTAGTTAGTTGCCTTTTGTGGAATTCCTTGCACCTGCCATTGTTGTTCTGATCAACAAGATTAGGTACCTAATGTGTTCCCACCCAGCCCCACTTAGTTCTGAGGGTCAGACCATAGCATCGCTCATGCAAGCAGCTCTTACTGAGTTTTTCCCTTGGAGCACAGCTGAAAGCTTTCCCCGTGTCTGACTCCTGTCGCCTTGTGTTTCAGTCATGGACCTTTTTCACCTGTTAATGAATGCAAAGGCATGTTGGGAAAGGGATGTTGGAGAGGAAGAGAAGATGGGTTTGAGAAGGAAGTTAGGAGAACAGATGAGATGCCAGAGTCCAAGGTCCCAGCAGAGTGATTGGTAAAAGGAGGAACCTGCTGATTCAGGAGGTAGGAACAAAGAATGACCAGCTTGCTGGAATAATCCTGTTTTCTCTCCCTCTGTCCCTCCGTCCCTCCGTCCCTCCGTCCGTCCCTCCCCCCTCTCCCCCTCCCCCCTTCTCTCTCCCTCCTCCTCTCCCTCTCCCCCCACTTTCTCCCTCTCTCCCTCTCCCCCAGTCCTTAATAGAGGTAGGTTTATGAGGAAGCAGTGACAGGGAGATGGGGTTTAGGTATAGGAAACAGACAGTGTCATCTCTGGCACAAGACTAATGGCTTTCTGTAGAATTTGTTTTGGTTTCAGTAACCTGTCTGAATTCACTTAAGAGCTCAAGAAGGTGTAACTTCACTCTGTGTAGCTTTTGACTTGGAGGCCATCCAATGCCAGACTGGAAGTAAGCAACTGCCCTCTCCTGTTGACGCTCTCCAGACCATCTTCACCGTTGCCCTGTTGTGGGAGGCAGGCATGACAGTAAAAGTGGCCTGGGCTTTCTCGTTCATTTCATTCTTGGCTTTTCTGGAAATTAGGAAGTAGGCACCAAGACCCAGGACAGTGTTAACTTCTGCATGATGTGTGGTGAATCCCTCTGCTGGCATACAGCGATGTGAGACACCAGTCAATGGAAACTGCCGAGGTGGGACAGCGTGGGACCGGGGAGCAGTGCCTCCATCACTAGGTCCTCAAGATACCCTTGTCCCTGGAGCAGGGACTAACTATAGCACAAGATAGTATGTGCCAACGCTGTTTGTGAAATGTATGGTCTTTCTAAATGATTAAAGGAATCGTTTTTTTGTTGTTGTTGTTGTTGTTGCTCTTTGCTTTTTTTTTTCTTTTTGCGAACCAAATCTTAGAGCCAGCTGAGACTGTTAAATAATTTGGAGGATAGAATAATGATGTACCAATAAATGTAAGTTCCTCCTTATGACATATGCTACATGATGGAAGGTGTAAAATATTACCTCCCCCTCTTCTCTTGACTTTGTATTTTACTGCATGTTTCCTTCATTTTTAATCAATAAAGATAAAAGAATAAATTGTCCTTAGTGATGTGTGAAATTTTTTTTTTAATGGTTGCTGGCAATGAGCTCTGGGGATCAAGGGCATGAAATCACTACTTTTCATTTTTATGGGAGTGGCGTGGAGCCAGGATGCATATAGACAGTAAGATGAGCATACTAACATACAATTTTTTAAAAAAAGTAGAGCAGCTTAAAACTGTTATGCTGAAGTTGGGGAAACATATTCCCCAAATGGAAAGAATGAAGAGTGCCCAGGAACTGGACATGATGGGTTTTTAACCATCTCTTTTATATAAGTCTTGATTTTTTTTTCCCTGAGTCTTTAGGGAAGGACACCAGATTCTAGCCATTGGGGTTCCTTTCAGAACGTGTAGAGCTGTGCAGAGCTTGTTCCTATGGTGCTTAGCTACTGAAATGGTGTGGCTTTGTGGAAGGTTCCAGGCCCCTCAATGTCTTGTCATCCACCTGTTCTTTGCATGCTTATCTGATCGTTATCCTTCCCCATGGAAGTCGCCGAAATCTGTGACAGGACTGCTGTAGATCCGGGCATTTCTGTGAGAGAGCTGTGGAACTTGATGCTGAGGAAGGCTTACTTAAGAGACCAGCAACGTAAAGAAGTGAACTGTGAGTGTTGTACATGGAGTATGGGCCAGGTTCTCAAATACAACCGTGTTCATGCAAGGGGTTATGTCAGGACCAGGCTAAGGTGAACTTCTGCTTACCTGTCCTAACAGATGTGAGTGTCCCAGCTTGGACATTTAGTTCTGCTTTGTCCTTTGGGTCAGGTCATCTGTCCCATGCTGGGTTTTAAAGTAGACTTCAATTTTTCGGTTTTAGGGTGGTGAGAGTTTCACAACAAAATTGAGTAGAGTGTGTTTCCTACACACCTTTCTCTGCCTCTTACATTCCACATTGGCATAATGCTTTTGATACAGTTAATAAACTACATATGTGCGTTATCACCCTTAACCCATAATTTACAATAAGATTTATTCTTGGTGTTGTGTGGTCTGTGGTTTTGACAAATGTATAGTGATAGAACCAACTTTATATAGAATAATCTTCTGGCCCTAAACGTTCTGCCTAGCCTGTTCATCTCTTTCCCCACTGACCCTTGGGAACAAATGTTTTTGTTGGTGGTGGACTATTTTTTGTTCCTTTCCTGCTACTAATGAAGGGGTTGAACCTAGCACTTCATGCACGCTGGACAGTCTTCCACTGATTTGCATCCCCACATGACCCATTGGTCTTTGTATAGCTAGCATCACACAGTACGTAGTGTGTTTAGATCGACTTCTTTTGCTTTAGTTATATCATCTAAAGTTCTTTCATGTCTTTTTATAACTGATTTTTTTACGCTTAGTTTAGTGTCTACCACAGCTTACCACCCACTTACTGGAGGACATCATTTGTGCTTCCAAGTTTGGACAGTTAAGAACAAGCTGCTGAAATCATCTTTGCTCAGGGTCTGTGTGGATGTGAGCTTTCAGCCCATTTGACAAAAGGCCAGTGAGCATAATTGCTGGGTCTTAAGAGTATGTTTAGTTTTGAAGTAAATTGCGCAACTGTTATTCAGAATAACTGGCCTGTTTTTACATTCCTGCTGCTCTACCCTCTTGGCCTGTTCTGGTGATGAATGTGGCTATTCTGTTAGGTATACAGTAGTCCTTACCTTAATTTGCAGTTCCTAATGAATGTGCTGTTGAACATCTTCTTATATGCCAGCTAGCTTTCTGTGTGTTCTAGAGACATGCTATTCAGGTATTATTTTGAAGTAAGCTCAGAATTACAGACATATTTGCAAATAAACAGTACCGAAGGTTTGCCTGTATCTGCCTGTGGCTTCTCTAAATGGAAATATCTCACATAATTATGCACATTACCAAAGCCAGGAATTAGCCTTGATTAATCTATGACCGAGAGGAAATTCTTTCCCTCCAGTATTGTGCCTTTCTGGACTCAGTCCACAATCCCGTATTGTCTTCAGCTATCACTTTCCTTGATCTCTGCCTGGTACAACTTGATCTTTTTTCCTTTGGCTTTAACACTTATACCAAAGTAATGGGTAGCTACTTTGCACAATGTCTCTCAACTTGAGCTTTTCTGTATCTTCTCAGGATGAAGTCTCGGTTGTACACTTTTGGGTGAAGAAAACCTAGAGCTGATATCAAGCTCTTCTTACTGTGAAGCCCTGGGGAACATAATGTAAGCACGTCTCTGCTGATTATGTTGACTGGTCCTTTGCTTCAGAAGTTCTGTTATGGTTCTCCACTATAAAGTTACTGCTTTTCTTTTTGTAGTTAATATTTTGTGGGGGTATAAAGCTTGTGACTTTATAAATACTTTTATACTTTGTCTGGCATTCCTGGTTGACTCTTGCCTAACAGATGTTACTTCAGTGTTTTCTAAATGGCCGTTCCCTGTTGCTGTCAGCTCCCCCACTTTTTAATTTAAATTTTTATGTATGCATGTGTTTATTTATTTGAGACTGAGTTTCTCTGTGTAGCATCCCTGGTTGTCCTGGAACTCTCTCTCTTTTTTTTTTTTAATATTTATTTATTTATTTATTTATTTATTTATTTATTTATTTATTTATTATGTATACAATATTCTGTCTGTGTGCATGTCTACAG